CCCCCGCCTTTCCTTTCTCAGGTACAAGAACATTCCACAGATGTCGTTTGATGATACAGAAAGGGAGCCAGATCAGACCTTTAGTCTGAACCGGGATCTTACAGGAGAATTAGAATATGCTACAAAGTAAGCATGGGACCTGCTTTCCACTCCTGCTGAGGAACAGTAGCACCTCTTCGTTTGCAGTGAGCATATCCTCATATGCAGCAGTGCTTACAGAGCTTACCATTTATTTTTGGCCACTCTCCTGCCCTCTTAGCATCAGAGATGAGTTTAAAAAGTGGAGGAGGCATCTCAATCCTCGGCTTGGTCAGTTTTGGGCAGAAAATCAGTGTAGGCCACAGACTTGTTAACTTGTAAGCAATTGGCAGATCTGCATGAGCTCCCAGGATAGTCTTAGGAAATGTTTTTTGGAATTCCTCTTTGCATAGTGGGCCTATAGCAGGCTCACTTAGTTTTCTTTCTCCTATGGCTTAGATCAACACTAAGCATGCTTCAGAACCCCTGCCCAGTTACACAGCATTTCTCATTCCTTTTCCCTTGAGGGGAGGAGCAGTGTTTATTCATCTTTGTGTCTCTGCTGCCTTGGACAGGATATGGCAGATGGCTCAGGAAATATTCACTGAATGAATTGCTTGTCCAAAGGAGAAAAATGAGAAGGAAGAACCCAAGATTGATCCCTTACATTTGCCTGGGTTTTACCATATGTTGGAGCTGAACTATTGGGCCCTGATTGTGAGGTGCTCATTGGACAGTAACCTGTGTCTTCTCGTCTTTCTTCTTTCATCCTCTAGAATTTCCCGTTTTTCAAATGTCTATCATCTCTCGATTCATATTTCAAAAAATTTTGGAGCAGATACCACAAAGGTCTTTTATATTGGCCTGAGAGGAGAATGGACTGAGGTAAGAGGGGAGTTGATAAAAACATATCAGCACACCATCAGAGTGGGGGCTTTTAAGGGAAGGGAAAGAGCAAATGAAACAAATTTTCTTGGTTTCTTCATTATAACATGTTCCCATTTGACAGACTATAGGAATTTTTAAAATTGAAATTACATAATTTATATTAATTCACAGTTTTTCACTTTCAAATTTTTTCCTTTGGCAATTTCAGCAGGGCACTGGAAGTATAGCTGGTGTTTGAGCACATGCTTAGCATGTTCAAGGCCCTTCCTGCACCAAACAAAAACAAAAAGCATTCTTGATAATCCTGCTTGTTCTAAACACCAGGGATAAGATGATAAGATAAACAAGCTCCTATTCTCGTAGTGCCCTCATTACAGTGTGGAGAATGGATCTCAGTTGCAAGTGAATCCTTAATAATGAGCTTTGCAAATTTCTCAAGATAAAAAAAATATCAGAAGAGAGGAGCTTTGAGACATCTGCTAGAAAGGAGACTGACTATAGACTACTCCAGTGTGTGTTCTGGGAAGCCACAGTTTCTTAATGGCCCACCTACCCAGCATCTCCATTTTCTTGCAGCTTCGCCGACATGAAGTGACCATCTGCAATTATGAAGCATCAGCCAACCCGGCAGACCACCGGGTCCATCAGGTTACCCCACAGACACACTTCATTTCCTAAGGGCTGGCCCAGGCTCCCACAGATGTGCAGTCAGTGAAGACGTACCACCTGTTGGGAAGGACAGAGATGAGGCTCCAGTGAGAGTTGGTTGCCACAGCCTCTGCTGAGTTTTCTCTTTGGGGCTTGCTGCAGAAATCCAGCCTATGGACGATACCACACCACTGTGAGGGTTGTGTGGGTGCTGAGGGACAATCGTGGTTCTCTAGGGCACTGCAGAAATTGGGTCTTAGGTTGTGTGGCATCTGGCTGTCATGGAGAATGCTTGCTTTTTCCATTGATGTGGCCATGGGATCCCAAGTGTCTTGTTGCTTTGTGGCAGGATTTTTATGTGATTTTTTTCTTTTTCTTTTAAATGGAAACTCTTCCTGAGCTGCAGGAAACCTGAAGCATCAGGATTTTGTTTGTGTGAGCTATCAGGAGGGTCTCCAACTAGAAATACTTGTCCCTGCTTGTTCCTTCTCCCTGTTGTTACTCAGCATTCTTGTCAAGTTGCCTAGCTTGGAGTTGTCCGTCATGCACAGTGTCCCGTGGTTATAGCTTGAAAGGCAGGAGTCTCCTGATGATGTGTGATAGCTTGGGGGGGAAGATCTTTCCCACTGCCTAGCTAAGCAGTCTGGGGAGAGCATGGGAATCATTTGTGTTTGTGGGTAACCTGGTTGGGGTAAGATTGAGACTTAGTTAAAATTCCCTTTGGAATCTCCTTAATGTTTTATTAGCTTCTATGTATGCCCAATGCCAGAATTTGGAGATAAGCTCTTGAGTTCTTCTGTTCATGGCTTTTATTCACTGTGACTAATAAAGCTTCCTAATAAATCCTTGCCAGACATAATGTTTGTATTTTCTTTTGAATTTTAGGTAGTACTGATGAAATTTTTATTTTACTGGAAACTGTATTGAACTTTGAAATTTTTGTTGTTTTGATCTAGGTAGATCATAGTGTCCACAATTAAGACTAGATCGGTTTCTCCTGGAAAAGTCAAGCTTAATTCTGTATCCAATACCCACCTTTGTAAAGAGGAAGGTAGGGTTAAAGACCGATATTCCATTTCTCATGAAGGGAAATAACCTATGAAATGATATTTACAAAAACAAGGGAGGAGGGGGAAAAGGAGCACAGATCCTAGAACACATCAAAGGATGTAAGGGTAAGGAAAGGAAATGAGCACTGCATTCTGTCTAAAGGTGGGCCAGACTTTGAACTTATATTAATATCTGAAAATCAGTCTAAAACTTGGAGAGAACTTAAGTATTTGAAAAGGAGATTTGAGGTTGTCAAGTTCTCTCCTTTGCAGAAAGCAGGAGCAGTTGATAAGGGGAATTAGTGTTGAATCTGATCCTCTTGAGAGGATGCATTGGCCTGTGCTGTTTTCAGGAGGATCTAGCTACTTTCTTCAGCTTTTCCTCTGAAGTCTGCCACCCTAATCTTGTACAGCCTGGAGATTCTGAAATGCAGCATGAAATCAACTAGAATGCAAGTGCAGTTCTTGACGCATTAAGGGTCCTACCCACTTGTCAGCCACAACCTCTTTGTTTTGGTTGAATCATCTTACGGATTAAAAGAAGGGCTATGTTTTTTTTTTTTAAGTATTTTTAGTTTTGATGTGCCTTTATTTTTTATTTATTTGTATGTGATGCTGAGGATCCAACCCAGTGCCTCACACAAGCACTCCAAGCACTCTGCCACTGAGCCACAACTCCAGCCCCTATGTTTCAATTTGGACTAAGGAGAAATAAAAAGTTAGAAATCTCAGAGCACACCAGCCGTTCATTATTTCTACTAACTAAAGCACAAATGACCCGTAGCCCCTGGGGCTGGGCTTCTGAATTTAAACTTCACTCTGAAGAATTTGCTGAAAATGCCATGATGTCGGGTGATTGGAGGTGCAGGAAGAATTTCATTCTTCATCAGCAGACCCAGAAGGGATTTTGTTGTGGTGGAAGCCATGCTTTCTTTCATTTTTGTGTTCTCTTGTGACATCCAGTCCTGGATCTTTGATTTACAGTGTTTTTTTTTTTTCCTCCAGTTTTTCTCCCCAGAATGTTTGTATTCTAGGTTCCAACTCCATGACCTGTTGAGTCCTCAAAAGCAAACTGCCTCTTGGCTTGGAGAAAGGTGCTTTGTTGAGCTTCCAGCTTGTACTGTTTTGTTTCAGTTCAAAGAATTAAAAAAAAAAAAAAAAACCTAGTGTAGGTTAAGCTGGGAGGATGAGTCCTCAGCTGCTGAGGGACAAGTGTAACTCAACTTGCAGATCCCCACATGTGCTCTTGGGGGCATGGTCCTTCCATTCAGCTTGCCTGTCAGGCTTTTTTTCCCCTGAGCTCTATTTCCATTTTACTAGTGTAAAGGCGACTCACTGGTGACCAAATGAAGCCCTTTTGTTCCTGACTCATTGGATGGTGACATTTTGTGCATCTCGCATGGCACTGATGGTCAAGGACAGTTCTAAGATAACACTACACTGCTTGATGCCTTTCCAACTATCCTGATTTGGCCTGCATATTTTCCCAGGGTACTTTTTAGAGTAATTAAAGGCTCATACTGGGACTTTACAGTGTATAAAGCATGTATACACGACCTCATGGGAGCCTAACATTAAAACTATGAGGTAGGCAGGGTGGTTATTAACACCATTTTATGGCTCAGGAAGCAGGTCAAGAAAGGCAGGCTTAGAGCAGCCTGTTTCTTTCCCCACATCTTTTCTTTAAGGTAAGACTGGAGGACTAGGTGATCTCGGGTCTTTTCGGGTCAGAGAGCCTGGAGCAGGTGGTGAGGACGGACGGAGGACCACGAGGGCTGCAGCTGGGCGCAGCGCGGTCAGGAGTCGTCCTGAGCAGATGAACGCTGCTCTGGCCGCAGTGGCGAGGCGCGGCTGTGCGAGGCGCTGGCCATGCCGATGTATCCACTGATGCCCGTTCACTGGACGTGCAACTGCCCACGCTGTTTTCCGTGACAGACACAGACCTACCTAAGCCAGCCCCAAGCGGCCCGGGTCCCCAGGGCGTAACGCAGCGTGCCGGGCGGAGATGGGCCGGCTTCTCGCTGGCCAAGAGCGCGCCTCGCTGCGCGTGACGACGTCTTGCGGGTGGCTCGCGCGGGGAGGTGGGGTCGGGGGCGGGAGGTCGCGGGGAAACATGGCAGCCCCGTGCGGGGAGCCGGCCCGCTTCCGGGTTCCGTACCGCCGGCCAGGCCACTTCCGGCAGCGCGATGGCTGGGTTCCCGGGACCCGAACGGAAGTTCCGGCGGGGGCGGCCGAGGGGGAAGAGAGTCTGTGCCGGAGAAAGGGGAGAATCGCCCGAGCGGTCTCGCACGCCCCGGGAGAGAGGTGCCGGGCTCCGGCGCGGGGCGCAGGGAGCGCCGGGGGCGGCCGCGGGCGGGGCGCGGGAGGCGGCGCGGCCGGAGCGATGGCGGGGGGGCGAGGCGCGAGGCGCTGTCCAGTCCTGGGCACTTAGGGAATGCAGCGCGGCCGGGCAAGAGGCTGCCGGGTGCGCAGAGAGGACTTCGCGGTCGGAAGTGGGGGATCCCGTTGTGGGGCAGGAGCTTCCCCAGGGTCAAAGGTAGAAAGCCCCTTTGTGGGCAGATGAGAGTCCTGGGTCCAGGTAGAAAACGTCACTGGGGAGGCGGTGACCCTTGTTAGAAGAGAAGTTCCCATTGTGGGTAGTGGGAGACCCCGGGTCTTACTGGGGTTGGAGGAAGACCCCAGGTCTGGGGGGAAGATACTCCTTCGGAGAGGGGGAGCCAGGGTGGGAGGGGGGAGTCCCCAGAGCGAAGAAGCCAGGGAAGCCCAGCATTCCTGGGTGGGAAGAGGGACCCTAGGATCAGAGGTGCAAGATCCTCTGTGAGCTTCCTGCTGTAGGGAGGGGCAGCCCGGGGTCAGAGCTGGAGGGTGGGAGCCAGCTGGGAGTACTGGGCGCCCTGTAAAAGGGAGGAACTTGGAGGTAGGTAGCTGAAGCTTCCGGAGTTTGGAGGATGCTAAGGGCGGGGAGGGGCCAGCCAGCCTGACATTCTTTTGTGTGTTTGGGAGTCCCAGAACCTGTTCAGCTGGGGCCCCATTTGGAGTCAGTGGCGGCAGCAGCAGCAGGTAGCCCCACTCAGGGGTGTGTGGAGCACCAGTTGGGGGTGGATGGCACTTGGGAGTCCTTATGCATTCAGAGGACATGGGCAGCTCCAAGGGGCTCTGGGAATGGTTGAGCCAGAACTGCTGTGAAGGCTGGATGGGGGGCTGGGAGGGAGGAAGGAGAAGATGGGAGGAGAGTAGGGTCTGGAAGCATATTTCTCTGGCATTTTTCTCCCCTTCACTTCCCAGTATGGGTGGGGTTGGGGAGGAGGTGACCCAGGGACTTTAGAGAATTGATGACTGAAGGCAAGAGAGGACATAGCACTGAGGAGCTTGGGGGTGGTCAGCAGGGGTTGCCCTGCCTCCTTTCATTCCCTTCCCACCCTCCAGCCCCTAAGCCCTGCCCCTGCTCATCGCCAGCAAACTCAGGCTCTGAAGTTGGGTCAGAACCAGGGACAGAGTTCTGGGCCACTACAGTGGCTGCCTCGCTTTTCAGCCCTGGAATGGAGGCAAACTTCTACCCTCCTGCCCGGGGACTTCTGCGTGCTTTTTCTCTGTGTCCAGGACAGAACCTGGGGGCTGTGGCATGGGTGGCACCCCTTGAGCCAGAAGGCTGCCCCCTGCCCAGCCTCGCTCTTGACTGCAGCCCCTCATTGTTCAGGCCCAGCCTGCAGGGAGCCCTGCAGTGTATGTGTGGTAACACCATGTCTGTACCCCTGCTCACCGACGCTGCCACTGTGTCTGGAGCTGAGCGGGAAACGGCTGCGGTAAGGGGACCCTTTTACCTTTGGCAGCACCCCACACACACCCCCTGCTGCCCTGCTCTCATATGCCAGACTCCTTGGGGACAGCTGGGGAAACTGGCTAGAGCCGATGTGGGAAACATGGAGGTGGCGGTGCTGGGAAGGGAGTAGGCCGAAGCCAGGAAGCTCAGGGTTAATAGCCTGTTGGCTGCCACCTGTTTCCCCCAGGTCCTCGCCTGTGGGAGGGGTGGCCCATATTGGAGGATCTGGAGGGGGAACTTCCTCATGGCCCCATCTCTGACTTTTCTAGGTTATTTTTTTACATGGACTTGGAGACACAGGGTGAGTGAGCTGGGGAGGGGGCCTTCCTTTCGGAGGTGGGCAGGGCGGACAGCAGGCTGGAGGGCCTCCCTCCCTGCCTCCCTCCCTGCATCAGAGCCTCTTCTCCCTTCCTTCCCTCCTACAGGCACAGCTGGGCTGACGCCCTCTCCACCATCCGGCTCCCTCACGTCAAATACATCTGTCCCCATGCGTGAGTGTCACCCCAGCAAGGGAGAGACTGTAGGGGGATCATTCATTCAGGGTGGGCATGACCCTGTGGGTCCCAGGCCTGTTTGCAGCTGTCAGCTGTGTCCTGGGGCTAGGACTCAGAGCCCGCAGAAGTGCCTTATTAGCCTGAGCTCTTATGGACCCCTCTGGAATGGATCTAGCACCAGCCCCCAGCCCTAGGGGCTCCTAGACCTCCTAGGACCAGGGCCTCCCATGCCCCTTCCCCAAGTACTCACCCACTGAGCTGGAGCCCCGTTAACACCAAGCGCTGGGTTGTGCTTCTCCATCGTTACTGCTGATGCCCCAACCACAGCCTCCAGCCCCACGTGGCAGGTTGCCTGGCAACATCTTAAAACACAGGCCCTGCTTGCTGGGAGGGGCCCCTAAGGGCTGCTCTGTCCCCTCCTGGGCCCTCTACTGTAGCTTCCTTACCCCCCTGAGCATGACAGGCCCTTTTGGATCTCCCTTCCAGGCCTAGGATCCCTGTGACACTCAACATGAAGATGGTGATGCCCTCCTGGTGAGTGTGGGGCTGGGAGAACAGAAACCCAGGGAGCTGTGGGGGCTGGCCAGCCCAGCTGCCACTCCTCTGCTCCCCTAGGTTTGACCTGATGGGGCTGAGTCCAGATGCTCCAGAGGACGAGGCTGGCATCAAGAAGGCTGCAGAGAACAGTAAGGCCCCGGCCCCTTCTCAGCACCCTTCCCCGTCCCAAGAAAGTGCTGGACAGTACCTGCCTGGTTCCCTTGGGGTCCTCCCAGCAACTTCCCCCATCCAATCATGCCCCTCCCCCCAGTCAAGGCCTTGATTGAGCACGAGATGAAGAATGGGATCCCTGCCAATCGAATCGTTCTGGGAGGTTTTTCACAGGTGAGTGGGGAGAGACAGGGAGGGCTGGGTGGGTGAGCTGTGCCTTCATGACCTGTCATTCTCTCCTCCCTCCAGGGCGGGGCCTTGTCCCTCTACACAGCCCTCACCTGCCCCCACCCTCTGGCTGGCATTGTGGCATTGAGCTGCTGGCTGCCTTTGCACCGGAACTTCCCCCAGGTGAGGGTTCCTACAGACCCTCTCCTGCCTTTGGGTGTCCTTGAGGCTTGGGCATTGGGCTGCACTCTGGTTTTGCCCTGAGTTCTCTCTGGTCCACAGGCAGCCAACGGCAGTGCCAAGGACCTGGCCATCCTCCAGTGCCATGGGGAGCTAGACCCCATGGTGCCTGTACGGTTTGGGGCCCTGACGGCTGAGAAGCTCCGGTCAGTTGTCACACCTGCCAGGGTCCAGTTCAAGACATACCCAGGGGTCATGCACAGTTCCTGTCCTCAGGTCAGTGGGGGGCTTCCCACTCCCACTTCTCTCCCTCCTCCCTCCAGCGGGAGCCTCAATTTCTGCTCACCCCCAGGAGATGGCGGCTGTGAAGGAATTTCTCGAGAAGTTATTGCCTCCAGTCTAATCAGAGTTGCTGGCCCCCAGCTAACAGGGGACCCAGCAAGCAAGTGCGGCACCATCTTGGATCTGAGCCGGTTGAGCCCGTTCCCTCCCTCCTGCCCTTCCTCTAAGGCCTGGCCTGGCCTTGGCCTCTTGGCTGTCTGCAGCAGGTGGGCTGCTTCCTTACCCCACTTCCCTGAAGGCGGCCCCCCGGCAGCAGTATTGGAGGGGAAGTAGGCAGCGGGATAAAGGGGCCCAGCTGCTGACCCACTCACTCAGGACCTCACTCACTAGCCCCGCTTTGGGCCCCCTCCTGCGACCTCAGGGTTTGGCCCATGGGGCCCTTGTAGGCCCCAGCCCAACGGTTGCCCGGATAATCCCGTGTCTCCTGCCTCACTGCAGCTGCTTCTCAATCATGAATGTGTCCGAGGCCCGGGCCCCTTGCTGCTGTGGCTGCCTGCCCCTGGGCAGGGGTGTCGGTGAGGAGTTGGGAGCCTTCCCACAGCCATCCCCCCACTTGGGGGCTGGGCCCTGCCTCCCCATTACCCTCCTCCCTTGCAGGCCTGGAGCCTGCAGGGTTGGACTGAGGCTCAAGGTCTCCCCTGGCTGTCTCACCCTCACTGCGTCCCCACTCTAGGGCCAGGGAGGTGGTGGGGGAGGAGTCGTGTCTCGTCTTCTGTCTCCATGTGGTTTTGGGTGTTTTTCTTGTTGTGCCCTGGATTCCAATAAAATTAAAGAAATTGCTTCCTCAACTCTTGGTCCTGGCTGATTCCATGCAGGGGGTGCAGTGACCATCTGCAAGATGCTGCTCCAGTGTAAGAAAACATTTTTATTTAAAATACTTTGGAAAGCTCCCTCATAGCTGTAGAAGTCAGTGCCTGGGAGGGTGTGGTCCCGAGCCCGGCCTCCTCACCGGCTGGTGGTGGTCCTGATGAGTTCCTGACCCCTGCAGGAGATCAGCAGTAGAGACCCCAGCTCCTGGTCAGTGGAGCTCCTGCCTGGTGGGCTGAGTGGGCCCAGCCTGGGTGTGAGGTAGGGGCAGCCTTGGCTTGGCCCCAGAGGTCTGGGGTGCTGGGGTCCTGCCAGAGGCCGTAGAGCAGGCAGTTGTGTCTCTTTTCCTTCTCTGGTGCATGGTAGGGGAGGGTCGTCAGGTCTGTGCACCAAAGCCTGAAGGATTTTGCTTCTGCCAGCGCCACAGATCTTCACCTGGGACAGACAAGGTGATGATCAGAACTTGCGCTGAAGGCGGTCCAGGATGGGAGCCCAGACCTGGTTCACTCCTTGTAGCCCCCTTTTCTTCTGGGTCAGGCCAGCACTCACACATCCTGTCCAGCCCCAGGGCCGCTGTCCAGCCCAGCTCCTCATGGGCCAAGCTGGGGTTGGCATAACAGGCAGCCACATCACCTTCCCGCCGTGCCACCACCTTGTATGGGATCTGCAAGAAAGGAGGCAGACTTAGCTGAGCTGACCCTGGGCCTTGCCCACGCACTGCTGGTCAGAGCCACTTATAGATAGCTAGCACCGGGTGTGAGGCAGGCTGAGACGGGCGTGTGCGCTGGGCAGGCGAGTGGGAAGGGCCGGGCCTTCTGTGGCTGATGGGGCAGGGTAGAGTGGCACCCACCTTCTTCCCTGAGGCCTTCTCCATGGCTTGGACCATCTGCAGCACTGAGTAGCCAGTGCCTGTGCCCAGGTTGTAGATCTGCCAGGAGAACAGGGTTTGTGGAAGTGGCTGGACTCTCTACCCCTCTGGGCCATTTACCCAGGGTTCCCTGGCTGTCCCTCCCTGGCTTCTCCTCCCTACCCGGCAGCCACACTGCTCCTTCAGCTTCTTCAGGGCAGCAATGTGGCCTTTGGCCAGATCCACCACGTGGATGTAATCCCGGACGCCTGCAGAGGAGGAGGCGGTTGAGGGGAGTTCGTCCCACTTGGATCTCCTTAGGGGCTCCTACTCCTGAGTCCACCTGGTCCTAGGCTCACCTGTGCCATCCTCTGTGTCATAGTCATTGCCAAAGACATTCAGGGCCTCCCGTCGCCCGATTGCCACCTAGGGTCAGAGGTTAGGTCAGCTCTTTCCAGCCTGGCACCAGCTGTGGTACCCCTAGGCCACTCCTGTCCCTACTCCCTACCCTTACCTGGGAGACATAAGGCATGAGGTTGTTGGGAATGCCCTGGGGGTCCTCGCCAATGCAGCCAGAGGCATGGGCACCAGTGGGATTGAAGTACCGCAGCAGCACCGCATTCCAGGCCTGCGGGACACAAGTCAGGTGATGGGGACAGGGACACAGCAGCAAGTCCCAGCTGAGTCCAGAGCCCTCCACCTTACACCTATGGCTGTCCTCTGTGGTCCCTAGAAATGGACAGTGCCATGACCTAGGGCAAGTCACTGCTGCTTCTGAGCCTCAGCTTCTCCTCAGGATGGGGCGTCCTCGGGTCCCCATCCTCAGGCTCAAGGGAGAAGTCAGTCAATGAGCAGAGCTGGGGCTGGGCAAGGGGCCCTCACCTTGTCTGCCCGGCACAGGTCCCGGATCATCTCCTCGATGAAGAACTTGGACTTGCCGTAGGGGTTGGTACAGCCCCCCGTGGGGTGGGCCTCATCCAGAGGCAGGTACTGGGGGTTCCCGTACACAGTGGCTGAGCTGCTGAACACCAGGTTCTTCACCCCATGGGCCCTCATGATCTGGCCATGGAGGGAGGTGTCAGTGGCCTGTGCCTCCCATATTAGGCCCCTCTTTCTGTGACATTGGAAGGGCAGAGCTGCACTTATGGGCACTCTCATTTCCAAAGGGGGAAGGCATGGAGGGCAGAGGATGGGAGGAAAAAAGACAAGTTCAAGATGACACAGATTGAGCCTGTCTGATTCCCACACAGGCCCTTACCCACAGGGGCTGGCACTTCTAGCCAGACTTCAGCCTGGCTCTGGGCTCTCTTAGGGTCTCTGTCCCTCCCCTAGACCCCTTACCTCCAGAAGCTGGATGGTCCCTGTCAAGTTAACTCTGTAATAATCCAGAGGCTTCTGCACGGACTCGCCCACAGCCTTGAGCCCCGCAAAGTGGATGACAGCCTTAAAGCTGTGCTGCAGGGGCAGAGCCAGGGTCAGAGGTGGCTTTGTAGGCCAAGCCTTTGGCAGTGCTCCTGCCCCCTTCCCACCTGCACCCACCTTTTTGAAGAGGCGCTGCAGGGCTGCCTGGTCCAAGATGTCCATCTCCTCAAACTCCACAGGTTGGCCTGTCAACTCCTGTACCCGTCGTAGGCTTTCGGGCATGGAGCCCCCTCCTGGTGGGGCACATCGAAGCCATCAAGATCAGGAGATGCGGTTCTGGAACCCAGGATTTCCCTTCTCCATCCCTCCAGAAACCTCGGCCCCACCGCCCATGCTCACCACGGATGGCATTATGAAAGTTGTCGATGACCACAGGGGAGTAGCCCGCCTCCAGCAGCTCCAGCACCGTGTGGCTGCCGATGTAGCCGGCACCACCAGTTACCAGCACCTTCTCTGCCATTGCACCTGGACCAGGACACAAAGTCTCAGGTGGCTGAAGCTGCTTGCTCAGTTCCTGCCTCTTCAACAGGAACTGGCCTCTGGCTAACCTTAGGGAGAGGCAGCCCTGTGTGTGTCCTAGTTACAGGATAGCTTTGGAGTCAACTCTGGTTCAAATCTGGGTACTCTCACTTTCTGACCTTGGGCTTTTAAGATCACCTACCCCTCTTGGTGGCAGTTTTCATCTCTATAGAGGACAGAGTTAATAGTTGTACATACAGCATGGGGTAGGGAGGGTCCAATGAGGTGACTTTAAAGGCATGCCACATGGTACAGGAGGAGGGAGACAGACCCAAGGCTACCATATTTTCTAGTTCCAATTGATCCATAACTCTGAGGGTCCACACTTTCCTCTTCAATGTCTGAGGACAGGACAGTGCTGGGCAGAAGAGAATATGGCAGCAGGACTGGAATCCAGGATCCCAGGCAGGTAGTTCTGTCCATTCAGACTCAGGCCTCCTGTGCCTCTGCCACAGCTAAGTGTCAACTGACTGCTTTGTAACTAATACCTCCTGCTCTAAGCAGCCCCTTCCCTATCCTTTCCTCAAGGATCAGCTGGGAGGAAACAGGAAATATATCAGATGACCTTAAAGGTGGGATCCTTTACCAGGAAGACTAAGCCCGGTTTGGGCAGCAGCACCTTCAGTCCTGGAGTGGGCTCCACCCCACCCAGCCCCACCCCTGGGTAGAGCCAGGCTGGCTCAGCCTCAGCCCTGCCAGGGTCAGCCCAGTCACTCCAGGCTTGAGCTGCAGATCCTGCCCAACTTTAGGCAGTCCTGGGTGGGCCAGTGTAGACGTGGACTTGGCCCAGTACCCACTGCCAGGTGTGCATCCCCGCCCTGAACAAACTGCAGGCGGAGGGGGAGGGGCCGGAGGAAGCCCCAGACACTAAGGCCTTTCATTCCCGCGACCTGGCCCGCTGCCGCCTTCCTCCAGGCTGCCTGGAACCCCTCTGGGCTCATTGAGCTCCCACCCATTTGACAGCGCCCGCTGTGTGCCAGGCTCGGTACCAGGCACTTCTGCGTTATTTTCCTGAATTCTCCCCGCATCCTGCCGAGGCAGTGTTATGACTGGCACTTTACAGAGAAACCTACTAGTGAGAGAGGGGGAGTACCGAGCCTACGGTCTCACCCTAGTGACACCCGGGCTGGAATTCGCATCTCCAGGCTCGCAGCCCGGCCCTTCTCCCCAGCTGCCCGCCCATTTCCCCTCTGGACTCTGCCCCGGCGACGAGCCGCACTCCCAATGCGGGGCCCCCGAAAGTGGTCACGCAGAGGCCCTGGGGGGCAGGAAGGCTGCCTGAGGCCGGTCTCGCCCCCGTCCCGCGGGATGACCTTGGTCAGCTGTCGCTTCCTCAGTTTTCCCAGTCTGTATAATGGAGGGGAGGAGGCGCTGGGCTGTGAGCGCCCAAGGGCAGCGGAGTCTCGGGCTAAACTTTTGGGCCGTGGCTCAGAAGGGGCCCAGTTAGGAGTCCGGGTCGGGAATGAATGAACCCGAGTCGCCCGGCCACCGCCGCGGGAAAGGCGAGCAGAAGGGGCGGGCCCGCCCGGGTCCGCCCGCCCCGGGGAGAGTCTTCCCGGAACGCGGATCAAGCCACCATGGAACTCCCCTGCTCCCTGCCGACCGCCCGGCCCTTTAATGCCGCCCCGCAAACCTGCAGGGGCTCCCGCGCCCCGCGCTGGCTCCAGCGGCGCCACCTCCCGCGCACCGCGCGGCGGTCCCTTTAAGAGCTCTCAGCCCACCCGGACCCCGCCCTGTCCACGCCCCCAAGGAAACGTGTCACTTGGGCTACGGACGCTACGGAGACTCCGGGAGGACAAAAGGCCTGTGAAACTTTCAGCGCCTGCTCGGAGCTTTTCGAGGGAGGGCGGAAGTGGGCGGCACCACGCCGTGACCCGGCGGGGGCGTGCGACCAGCGGCCGCCCGGCGCCCTGGCAGCAGCGCCCGGAGCGGGGTTCCCACCCTCCCAGGTCCCCTCAGGTCTTGAATGAAACGCCCGACTCGGGGACGGCGGCGCCTCCCCGGCTGTGGTTCCGGGACGTCCGGTTGGGATTTGGAAACCAACCCAGGAGCGGGAGGAGCCCAAAGCTGCCGCCGGAGTCTCGGCGCCCCACGGCCCGGCGGCTGCCCGCCCCCGCCCCCCGGGTGGGGCTTGGAGAGGTTGCTAGAGTTTAAAACCAAAGGCCGGACTCGGGAAGCGGGTGCGGAGACGGGGCGGGCGGGGCTCCGTGTAGGACCCTCGTCCACTGGCGATTAAAACTATTATATATATATGACGTGACATAACGAGGACACCCGAACAAAGAAGCGATAAATGCACAAGTGCACAGCTGTCCCCACCCCACGAAGTCCCTGGGCCTGCCCGCAGAGCCTGAGCTTAGTGCTCCCAGACTGCCTCCGGCCTGAGAGCCTGGCCAGGCCCCAGTGGCCTCCTGCCCTCAGGGGAGCTCGCCCAGCAGCCCGGGGCACAAAGACACACCCTCAGAAAACAGCCCCTGCGGTGCCAGGAAATGTGCCCGAAGTCCGTTTTTCAGGCCACAGCCGGCTCAGGTGGGGTAATGAAGGGAATCCTGAGATAATAAACAAGTTGAAAGTTTCATCCCGCCCCCTGCAGAGTGCAGCGTTGGGAAGAGATGAATTCCTCCGCTCATAAACACACAGAGCAGCACAAACGAATATTGGAAAATTAAGCCTTTAATTACATAACCTCTTTTCAAAAAATCACAGAGTGGAGATTTTCCAGAGATGATGGACTCAGCAGATGGCCACCACAGAAGCTCGGCCCTCATTTCTCTGCAAAAGTCCTCTGCCAGCCTGAGAAAACTCCCCACCCCTTGCTTTAAGAAGGCAGAAAGCAGTGGCCTGGAGGCCAGGCTGGATGGAGCATGTGGTTACACAGCTGGCAACTGCACCCAGAATGAGGGCAACTGCACCCAGAATGAGACTTACGGATCATCCCAAATAGGTTCCCAAGTGACCTCAGGCACTTGACTCATGGGCCACTGGGTCCACAGTGAAGGGAGCCGTTCATTCCCAAGGCCACTCACTCCTACTTAGGTCTGGCAGGGAGGGCTGAGGCCAAGCAAGTCCCCTGGCCCTCACTTCCCGTCTGCCAGGGACCTACATGCAGAGCTGGCTGGGAAGCCCTGCTCCTTTAATTTCATTCTCTTGTTCATTTCCCCCGCTCAGGAATCATCCATGCCTGCTCCTACTCCCATACAGTTCCCGGGTGAGGCCCAGGGGCTCAGAGTTTACAGCTAGCCTGTGCCACTTTGGAACTGGTTTTTCTGTTCAGGACTTGACAGATAAAGTCTCCAGCTTCCAGGAGCTTCTGAAGGTTCACACCCTTCGAGAAACAAATCAGAGGATACAGTAAGTCAAGGCCCTCAGGACCCAGGGGAACAGCAGACTAGAGACTGTGATGCTGCAAGGGAGAGGTGACGGCAAACAGGCTCCTTCCTGATGTGGGCTGCCATCTGGGGTCATCCCTGGGACTGTCCCTCACAATGGCTTGTGGTGCCACCATCAGGAGAGGGACCTCATCAGCTTTGCTGTCTCCATCTCCAGGGCCTGGCCCAGGGCCTGCCTAGTGTATTGAAGTGCGGGCTGTGAGGCGGAGGGGCAGGAACGAATGCCAGCCGACAGGACTCTTTTTTTTTCTTTCTAACTTGAAATCCTGCTTCAGTCCTAGAGTGGCTGGAACACAGGTGTGTGCCACGACACCTGGCCCACAGTTGCTCTCATTTGCTGATGTGTACCGTGAGCTCAGCTCATGCTCAGCATTCTACTTGGTTTCCCCCACACACACCAGTGCTGGGGGGTGCGGGGGAACGCAGGCCTCACACAGGCTAAGCAGGCTGCACTCCCAGGTGAACATTTTCTTTTTTTCTGGTGCTGGGGATTAAACCTAGTGGTGCTTAACCACTGAACCACATCCCCAGCCCTTTTTATATTTTATTTAGAGACAGGGTCTTGCTAAGTTGCTCAGCATCTCAATACGTTCAGGAGGCTGGCTTTGAATTTGCAATCCTCCTGCCTCAGCCTCCCCAGCTACGGGATTACAGGTGTGGGCGCTCCACACATTTTCTTAATCCTCACAACAGCCCATTTCTCAGATTTAGAGAGATGAAAGAATTACATCAGCCTGTGAGGGGCAGGGCTGGTTTTAAAAATTCATCAGATTTCAAAGCGGAGGTTATATGGCACCCAGACCAACACCAAGGGCCCTTACAGCCTTGGCAGAGCCCTGGGGGCTTATTCTACTGCCCTCCTTTTACAGAGAACTAAACAGCTGACTCTGTTCAGGCCAGGATCCTCACCCCTTCAGGGCTCTCCCTGTTCCTTAGGGTCTCAGAACAGAACAGTAGAGGACATTCTGAGCCCCTAGCCTTCTTGTGGCCCTGCTGGTGGCCTCACCACACTCTGCTACCTCAGAAACAGAACAAAGGTACCCCTAATCCCTGGCCCCTTTGCCTTCTTAACCCCACAACCCCCACTGGCTTCTGTCCTGGGGTTCAGGCAGAGCCCCGTCAGTTCAGAGAGGCTGCCACTCGGGGGCAGGGAGGCTTACCGTGTGAATGCCCAAGCCAGTTAGCATGTAGACCAGGTCCTCAGTGGCCAAGTTCCCTGATGCCCCCTGTGCATAGGGACAGCCTCCAAGTCCTGCCACGGAAGAGTCCACGACACTCACACCCATCTGGAAACAAGGATGGGGAAACATGACCGCCTCTGGGCACCAGAGCCCACCACGCTGCCCTGGCAAGCCCCTCAGTGCTTGTTGCCTGAAATTCTGTCATTCTTTCCTTTGGCGTCTGATTGCGTTAGTGACAATCCCACTGAAAGGCTTCATTCAGTTCCTGGGACAATGTGAGTCTGTCTTCCCTGACTTTCCTCTCCAGGAGTCTTTCTGCTCCCTTTCACCTCATCTTCTTAGCCTGTAGGTCTCAGCCTAAGAGCCACCTCCTCAGAGAGGCCCTCCCAACCTCCCCTTCCCGCTGTGGAGATTTCAGACCTGCCCCAGTGCCCCAGGTCAGCTGCTTCCCCCTCTGCTCCTTTTCTTCTCCCTTCTCACACCTCCCCCACCCGTCCCCCACCTCACTCCCAGCCGCTTCCTAGTCACTTGGGAAACCTGCCATCAGAAGAGACACTGAGCTCCAGACCAAGCCCATCCCTCCACCTCCAGAGGCCCACTCCAGCCAGCCCAAGCCCGCCCAAGTAGCCCTTCCCTCGGCTTCTGCAACCTGCCCCTCTCTCTGCAGACCTCCTCCCAACCCAACCTATTTCTTTTGTTCCCTTCAAAGCAAAGTGCCTCAAGCTGGGGTCGTGGTACAGGGTTGCTTAGGAGTAAGGAAGAGGGTTCATCCTCAGCACGCATATAAATAAGTGAAGATCCACTGACGACTAAAAAAAGAAGCAAAGAAGCAAAGTGCCTCAAAAGAGCTGTCCCTGCTTATTGTCTCCAGCCATTCCCCTCTGAAATGGGTTTTGCCGTCCTTGCCCCCAGCTCTTCCCGTGGAAACAGGTCCAGTGAAGGTCTCTGGTCACTGGAGTCCTTCATGTAGCTAAAGTCACAGGTCAAGTCTCAGCCCCTGGTTTCCTCCAGCACCTCTGGCCTCTCCCGAGGGCTCAGTCCTGTTTTTGCTGGCTCTTCCTCATCTCTGGCCTCTAAAGGATGGAGCCCTCACTGCATGGCCCTCAGATAGCTTCGCCTCTCTGCTGAAGTCTCCAACTGTCTACACCCAGGCCCGAGGCTTGCCCAGCATGGCCTCTCCACTGGAGCCTGGGGAGGCCTCACCACTGCCACCACCTGCTCCTTCCAGGTTTGCTGCCAGAAGTTTCCACCTCCCTGACTGCAGGCTCCCAACTGGCATCTCCTGCTTCTACCACCCTCTGTACAGTCAGTTCACGTCCCTCGCACTCCTTAGCTTCTCAGGTCAGTCAGAAAGGGCCCGACAAGGCCCTCACCTGGCTTCCTCTCCCCTCTCCCCACTGTCACACTGCTCCCCTGTGCCTCCATGTTCCTGGACAGAAAGTGTACCCCTCCCCCCCGTGTCTTTAACCTATGTTCCTGAACTGGGACCCCCTCAACATGGGTATTTTTATGGCTAGGCTCACTCCCTGATGCCCCTCAGATCTCCCTCAATGCTGTCCTGGGCAAGGAGGCCTCTCTGTAAACACCTGGTGCTCCCTTGACTGCTGTATTCTTCTCCATGGCATTTATGGACACCTGGCTGACCATATATTTATTTGTCTACTTATTATCTGTCTCATTCACAGCTGAATCCTCAGTGCTGAGAAGAGGGCCTGGCCTCACACCATATTTAGTGTTAGTAGCTGAGGAAGCTGTACTGTCTGTTTGCCTGTCTAACCTTTCACCTCCTTCCCCCTAGGACAGGAGCTCTGAGAAGGCAGAAACCAGGAGTCCATTCCTGTTGTCCAGTCAGCGCTTCACAGAGCGCCCGGAGCACAGAAGGCACGAACACTGAAGTAGTGGATGGAGGAAGGTGGAGGAAGTTACCATAGGTCTTCATGCTCAGCTGATTTCCCAGAGAAATCTGCAAAAGGTGACTCTGAGGACATCAGATACCAAGAAACAGAAGGCCAGAAAAGCAGGAGTATCCTGAGCATGGTCAGGATGACGTTTTGCCGCAGACCTTCCACACTGGTTCAGAAGTACCTTTTCCTGGCCTGGCAGATGTTGAGAAGAAGCCATTCTTCCTCACCTGCCCGGCCAGGCAACTCATGGGCTTCAGAAGAGCCCAAGGGCCCAAGACAGGAGGTCCCACCAAGCTGGGAACTGGAGGGGACCCCAGAGCCAAGCCTCAACCTTGACAACCAGGATTCTGGGGAAACAGGCCCAGAAAGTAAGAGAATCATCTGGCTTGGAGACATGAAGCTCCAGGAGGTAACAAGAGCGCCAGAAAGGTGAGGGTTGGGGACCACCTTCTCCTGCCCAACCACGCAGGCAGACCAGTGCCACTGCGAGGCAGCCGGTGTCAGACACGAGATTGTTCCTTCTAGGGGCTACCTGCAGAGAGTCCTACCCAGCAGCCCACCAAAAGCAATCTTCAAGGGAAGCTAAGCCCGAGGCCAGTACAACTTCTGGGGAACTCCCCACTCCTCTGAAAAGCCTCTGCCTGTCCCTTTAGCTGCTCCCCCAGCTCAATACCCGGGCTGCCACAGGGCCAGGACACGCGAGTCCTCCTGAACCCTACTTTAGTCTTTCAGGGCAGCTCTCCCTGGTGGCTGTTCCTCTTCTCTTTATTAAATTGCTTAATTCCTCATGTCCTTCGGGCCTTCTCAGGCCTCGCCAAATCCGACTTCCTCAGCTGGGCCAGGGGTCCTCTTGGCTTCTGCGCCCTGCGCTCCCTTCCTGGCCTCTGTCATAATGCAGCAGGGTTGTGTCGTAACTCCCTCGACTGTCTCCTCAATACGCACATGTGGGCACTTTCAGGGCGGGGGCACTGTCTTTGCTCACCACTGCAAGCGCTGGACCTGGCACTCTGGCCTCAGTGGTTGTTTGCTGAAAGAATAAATGAAACCAAACAGTCCTCCCCATGCCCTCTGGGAGAATGGGTACCTGCCTTTGATTACCTGCAGGGCCATCAAGGTGTTGGCCAGGGCCTGGCCATAGGTGTCATGGCAGTGGACAGCCAGGGCAGCCACAGGTACCTCGTGCATGACAGCAGACAGCATGTCTTTCATGATCCCTGGGGTGCCCACGCCGATTGTGTCCCCCAGGGAGATCTCATAGCAGCCCATTGAGTACAACTTCTTGGCAACCTGGGGAAGCAAGCAGGCATATGGAGGACCCCAAGTCCCACCAGCCAGGGGGCCCAGGGCTTGGGAACAGGGATCCTTTGTGCAGACAGGTCACCTCCATGGCCAGGCACTAATTCCCTACTGGGTCCTAAGCTCCTGACAACTTCCAGTGGGCATGACGAGCCGTGGGCTGCTGACCAGGAGGCTGAGGCTCCAGAGCTGAGGCTCTAGGAGCAGGGCCTCCCCCCCTGCGATTTCCTCCCACTTGAGTTCTTCTCACCATGTCAGACCTAGATGCTGGACTCAGGAAAACCGATTCGTGTAGTTTTATCCTCGGTAGTAAGATCTGTGGGAACCTGGGTCTGCGACACTAGTTATAGATCTTCCAGGAAATACACAACTATTTAACTTTTGCGAAGCCCATATGCGAACCCCTAAAGAGGCTGCAAAGCTGGATGGCACCTGCCTCTCTTGAGGACAGGGTGAGGAAGGGTGTGGTGGGGCAAGAGACAGGTGATGCTCACCAGTGATTGCTAGGTAAAGACACCCCCCCCCTCTCCCTGCACCTGGTGCACACAGGGAGACAGGAGCTGTGGCTGGAGGGCCGGGGGTGCAGCAGGCCTCTGGAGTCACATGATGCCTGATGAACTCCTCATTCCCTGCTCACTAGTTGTGTGCCCTGGCCAGGGCTTGACTCTTCTCAGCTTCATAGGTGATGGCTCTCTGTGGGGCTACAGTGAAGGCCAGAGGCAGGGGGAGGCTAAAGCAGGGGCCCCAGAGGCCACTGTCAATGAGAAGCGGCCACTGTTACCTCCTCCTCTCTGGATGTCACGTGGTATGGGACAAGAACAGGGGCTTGTAGGAAGACAAAATGTCTGAGACCTGATTTCACCACCTGGGTGGCAAGTCCTTTAGTCTGTTCCCTCAACTGAAAAATGGAAAAATAACAAACCTGCAGAGGAATTTTGTGGCTGAAATGACGTAAGCTCTTGGGCTGCTCAAATTCCATTCCCACCCCAGTCCTCCTCTTGGTTACTATTCAGAGGACGTCAGGGTGTGGCCTCTCCCCTACTACAAGGAAACTAGGGACTCCTGTGAGCCCCCCCAAGCTGTCACCTCAACAATCACCTGTCCACTGACTGGACGGAACCTGAAGGCTTCAGGCTGGGCAGGGGCGCCGCTAGAGGGCTCCAGGGAGCAGGGACAGGCCGCGACTGCAGTGGGTAGGTGTGGCAGCCGGGTGAATGAAGGAAGGCAGGGACCTAGCAGCAAAGGGTGGCAAGGGGCATCCATGTGCTCAGGGACAGGTGAGGTGGGCAACCCTCCCCAAACCCCCCCGCCACACACACCTCAGCTACTTTAGCCGGGGGGATCTTCCCTTCGTAGGGGCATCCAAGCACACAGGAGACGTACCTGTGGAAGACAGGGGGAGAAGGCCATCAGAGCCCCTGAGCTCTTCAGCCAGCAGGGCAGAGGTGGATGGCTGTGTGACACTCATCCCTGGCCTATAATCAAAACCTGTCTGGGTGGAAGACTGATCCAGAGGCGGAGTGGAGGGAAGGAGCGTGGCCTAGTGCCAGGAGGGGGCAGTAGAGAGCCGCTGTGGGAGGGCTGGGAACTTGCAGGGGCTTCTGCAGGGGCAGAAGTGGCTGAGGATCTACAGTGGGGGGAGGAGGAGGAGCCAGAGGGCACTGAGCAGCCCCTTGGTGTTTGGAGGGGTGGAAAAGCAGAACCATGTGCCAAAGTTGCTGGGCCAGTACTCAGGAGACCAGGACCGGATGAACTAAAGGCCAGAGCAGGAGCTGGGCTGGCCTCAGGGGCAAGGGATTAGCTGCTCCAGTGTGTCGCCTCCTTCCTTCATTCATTTATTCTACTGAGGTGACTACCATGTGTCAGGCACATGAGCGAGACCCCCGAGGTCCTCACACCCCTGGAGCTTGTTTCAGGACGGCGAGAGCCAACAGAACAGCAATCAAATAAGTGGCACAGAGCCTCAGGAAGCACCGCGCTAAGACGGAAACAGGAAGTGCGACAGGAGCCACTAGAGGAGGCCAATAGTGGCAAGGGTGGCCCAGGAGGACCTCCTCAAGGCTAGGACGTTGGAGCTGAGAGAAGGGGAGGGTCTGTGGGAAGAACATTCTAGAGACAGGAGCCAGCAGGATGAAAACAGAACAGCGGAGGCAGAGAGAAGGGGCACAGGTGGTGGAGACGAGGTTGGAGACGGGCACGGGCGTCTTGGGTCCTGCAGGCTGTCTGAGGAGCTCGGTTTTGGGTGTTGACACTTTCCATTCCCACCCTCCCTGTTGGGGCCCAGATGCCTTTGAGACCTTTAGAATGCAGCAAAGTGTTCTTCATATTAGGAGGTATAATAAACGGTTGCTGGATTGATAATTTCAGGCTCCAAGATCTTTCACTTTTCCATTTTAATTCTCCCACTTCTTCTCCAAATACTGCTGAGCAAGGAAATGTTAAAAGAGCCACTAAGAAGAGCACAGGCCGGGAGTCAGGCAATGTGACTGAGGCCCTGCGTCCTTGCCATCCATCCACCTGTCGGTTACTGAGTGCCATCTTGTGCCAGGCCTGTGCTGTGAGGGCAGGGCAGGGCAGGGACTGAGGGAGACATGGCTTGTCCTAGCAGAGAGCACAGTCCATGGGACGGGGCAGCACAGGATTCATAAGCAGTTTAACGCTAGGTTGCAGGACATCCAGGGTACTGTGGGACCTAGAGGATGGCCACTGATTCCCAGTGAAGGTCAGGAAAAGCTTCTCAGAGAACCTGGCATCCACAGATGACTAGAATAGGAGTCAGGCCTCGAAAAGTACGCAAAAGAGTGTTCTGAGTCTATGCAAAGGCCCAGAGGCGGAGAGTGGACAGTGGCAGATGGGAAGAAGTCCCAGGTGGAATGGAGATGGTGCACAGAAGACTAGGGCCAGAAAGAAGTGGTGAACAATAAGGCTGCAGAGTGGCAGGGCCGAACCAGGCGGGTCCTTAAACCACACTGAAGTCTGAACTCAGCCAGGCGCAAAGGCCCATGCCTGATATCCCAGCTACTGGGGTTGGGGGTTGGCTGAGGCAGGATAATAGCAAGTTCAAGGCCAGCCTGGGAAATTTGGCAAGACCATGTCTCAAATAAGTTAAAACGGACTGGGATGTAGTTCAGTGGTAGAACAATTGCCTAACACTGGGGAAAAAAAAAAAAGTCTGAACTCAACCAGTCACTCAAAGTATTATTTATTTATTAATTCAGGTACCAGGGATTGAACCCAGGGGTGATTAACCACATCCCTATCACTTCCCCCCACCCCCAGCTTTTTTTTTTTTTTTGAGATAGGGTCTCACAAAGTTGCTTAGGGCTTTGCTAAATTGCTAAGGCTGGCTTTGAACTTGTGATCCTCCTGCCTCAGCCTCCTGAGTTGCTAGGATTACAGCTATGCACCACTGGCAACTGGCATGGAAAGTTTTTCATCAGAAGCCATGTGATCAGATGTGTACCTCTGAATGGTACACAGTGAGTGTTGACACTTTCTATTCCCACCCTCCCTGTTGGGGCCGAGATGCCTTTGAGACCTTTAGAATGGAGCAAAGTGTTCTACATATTAGGAGGTATAATAAACGGTTGCTGGATTGATAATTTCAGGCTCAATGTGGGCTGCTGTGTGACCTCACAGTAGACTACCCATCCTTCCTGAGCCTTGTTCCTGTCATCGGTAAGGTGGGCATGGCTGTTCCCACTGGGCTATTGCTAAGTTTCAATTAGACATTACACCTGCAATGAATGGCTTCCAACGATTAGAGGTGCCACCTGGGAAACTTAGAGGCCTTGAGGATTCTTCAGGGATGGGCAAAGAGCTGGCGGAGAAGCCAGGACCATGCTGTCGTCCGCAAACCCCTTTTAATGCCCTGGCCTGCTGGATACATCTACTGAACTGACCTAAATTTAGGTTTGAGAGAAATACTTGCCAGGATTCTTCTGACCATATTTATTCTCTTGGGAAAAGATGCCTCAATGTGGTGCTTGAGCTGCCCCGACCCAGGACCAGGAGCTTGTGGTCGGGAGAATGGCTGGAGGAGAGCCTAGCTTCACTCCAGATGGCAGGGAGAAAAGACAGCAATGTGTCCCGACTCACCCCCGCACTGGAATATTGGTGGCCTGAGCTGCCTTCAAGATCACGTCCATGCGCTGGAAGCTCTCGTCTATGGAGCAGTTGATGTTCTTCCTGGTGAAGAGCTCTGAGGCGGCCCCAAAGACGCTCACTTCCTTGGCGCCTGCAGCCACCTGCCAAAATCCAGGTGAATTTCTTCAGCATTTTCCTCTTCACGAAACACTGACAGAGTGGCAAAATCTTATCTTACAGTAAATTTTATGGTATGTGAATGTCATAGGTTGAATTGTGTCCCCTCAAAAAGATACGGTGGGGGCTAGGGATATAGCTCGGTTGACAGAGTGCTCGCCACACTGGTTCGATCCCCAGCACCACAAAAAAAGAAATGTTGGGCTGGATACAGTGGCGCATGCCTGTAATTCCAGTGGCTCAGGAGACTGAGGCAGGAGGATCCTGAGTTCAAAGCCAACCTCAGCAACTTAATGAGGCGCTAAACAACTCAGTGAGATCCTGTCTCTAAATAAATAAATTCAGAATAGGGCTGGGGATGTGGTTGAGTGCCCCTGAGTTCAATCCCCAGTAAACCCTCTCTCAAAAAAAAAACAAACCAAACCAAAAACTCCCCGTACCTCAGAATGTGATCTTGTTTGGAAACAGAGTCATTGCAAATGTAATTAGATGAGGGCACCTAGAGCTTGGGTGCACCGATAATCCAATAGGACTCATATAATTTTTTCCTTTTTTTGGTACTGGGGACTGAACCCAGGGATGCTATATCCTTGTCCCTTTTTATTTATTTATTTATTTTTGAGGCAGGGCCTCACTAAGTTGCTGAGACTGGCCTCCTGCCTCAATCTCCCAAGTCCCTGGGGTCACAGGTGTGTGCCACTCCAACCGGCTGACTGGTACTTAAAAGAACATGGTTGTGTGACGACACAGAGCAAAGACCACGTGAAGCTGGAGGCAGGCCCTGCAGTGATGGATGTCCAAGCCCTGCAATGCCCAGGACCGCTGGCACCACCAGGGACCAAGAGAAAAGCCTGGAACAGGTTTTCTCTGAGCCCTCAGAAGAAGCCAATCCTGCTGACACCTTGATTTTGGACTTCTGGCTTCCAGAATTTGAGAGAAGAAATAAATTTCTGTTGTTTTAAGTTTCTCATTTTCCAGTAGTTTCTTAGAGGAGTCCTAGACAATATAGACAGTGAATTGTAACTCAATTTTAAAAAAAGGCTGGGGGCTGGGGTTGTGGCTCAGTGGTAGAGAGCAGGTCTTGCACGTGTAAGGCACTGGGTTCGGTCCTCGGCACCACATAAAAATAAATAAAGGTATTGTGTCCATTTGTAACTAAAAAAATGATAATTTTTTTAAAAAAAGGCTGGGAGTATAGCTCAGTGGTAGAGCACCTACTACCAAGTAAGGCCCTGGGTTCAGTCCTAGCACTTCAGGGGAGGGGACACCAAGAAACAGCTTTGACATCCCCCAAGGAAGTCACCAGTGCTGTCGTCACCACCCTGAAAGTCACTCTATTTTTTTTTTGGTACCGCAGATTGAACCTAGGGGTGCTTTACCACTGAGCTACATCCCCACTCCTTTCTGTTTTTCATTTTGAGACAGGGTTTCACTAAGTTGTTTAGGGTCTCACTAAGTTGTTTAAGACTTTATTAAATTGCTGAGGCTGGCCTCAAACTTGCAATGCTGTTTGAGGCTGCCTCAGCCTCCTGAGCCACTGGAATTACAGGTATGCATAATCGCATCCAGCTCCTTCAGGAGCTTTCAAGTGTTTAATTTTTTTTAATTGTAGATGGGCACAATACCTATATTTATTTATTTTTATGTGGTGCTGAGGATCAAACCCCATGCCTCACACATAAATGTCCTGCATTTAGACAACAAAACCTTCTTTCAAGAGTGATTTTCGGGCTGGGGATGTGGCTCAAGCGGTAGCACGCTCGTCTGGCATGTGTGCAGCCCGGGTTCGATCCTCAGCACCACATACCAACAAAGATGTTGTGTCTGCTGATAACTAAAAAAATAAATAAATATTAAAAAAAATAGTGATTTTCAGGGCTGGGGTTGTGGCTCAGCAGTAGAGCGCTTGCCTAGCACCTGGGAGGCCCTGGGTTCATTCCTCAGCACCACATGAAAATAAATAAATGAAAAATAAAGGTATTGTGTCCATCTACAACTAAAAAATAAATATTAAAAAAAATAAATGTGGGACACCTCCAATGATGCTGCTGTGGAAAGTGACAAGATGCTGGCAGATGTAGCAACTACTATGGAAACTCTCTGGAGAGCTTGGTTACCTTTCCCTAAAAGGGATAATAACAAGAGCTAACATTGACTAAGCACCTGTCTTATGTCAGGCTCTGGCTATGCAATATATGAGCACCCTGTCTCCCCAAACCAGCACAACCTTAGGTGCTATCATTAGTCCAAGTTTACAGGCAGAGTGAGGCTCAGAGAGGCTAAGCAACTTGCTGAGGTCACAACATGGTGAGTGGCAGGGCTGGGACTGCTGCAGGGGCTGAAGGTAATTGTCACCACTGGAGATACGCTGTCCAGGTGGACATCCCAGGAAAGGGGACTAAAGCAAACAGTCAGGACAGGGAGTAAGGGAGCTGGGGTTGTGGCTCAGCAGTAGAGCATTTACCTAGCACGTGTGAGACCCTGGGTTCGATTCTCAGAACCACATAAAAATAAATAAATAATGCTAACAAATGCTGTGGCTGTGGCTCAGCGGCAGCGAACTTGCCTGGCATGTGTGAGGCACTAGGTTCGGTTCTCAGCACAACATATAAATAAAACAAAGGTTTAAAAAATAAATAAATTAAATAAATAAAAAAATAAAGAAGATATTATATCCAACTACAACTAAAAAATAAATATTAAAAAAAAAAAAAGACAGGGAGTAAGGCCATCAATCTCACTCCAGGAATGCCCCCAACCTAGCTATCCTCTTACCGCTGCCTCGAAGCCTTTCAAATTTGGGGTCAGGACTGGGTAGTTGATGCCAGGAAACTTCTGAATGCCCTTCAAGACTTCAGTGTGGTCAGCCATCTAGGGACAAAGAAGACATGAAGTCATCACCAAGCAGACAGAGAGCTCAAAGGTCAGAGAGAACCTTTTACCGCTTAATCTCTGTTTTCTAGAACTTGTGGAGCAGGAGTGACAGTCTTCTGCAGAGCTGTCTCCCCAATGCTTTTATGATCTATGGGACTGCTGAAAGGACAGGAGGTGCCTGAGTTTGTGTGATATCCCCATTTCTTCCAATGGCCAACCCTGCC